TCTTTCCCAACTTTTTTCTTCCTCCCTCCTTCCTTCCCCAACTTACTTCCCCAACTTTCTCCTCCCTCTTCTTCCGCCGTCCTTCCCTCCACTGCATACCATTATTTTCTTGAACCGGGGGTCGATTGGATCGGCGCGGCGCGGATCCGCGAGCACGCTGACGGGGTCGACCCAAACAAGCTGCTCCAGATTCATTGCCACTGTCTTATGATTCTCGAGGGGGGTAGGTCACAGAAATAAGTACTGCGCATCCACGACCTGAAAAATGGCATTGTCGACTAGCGCCCCGCAAGCGAACAGCTCCTCACGCCTGGTCACTCCAACGCCCACTTCAGAGGCCAGAAGACTGGGCAGAGGCTGTACAGCGTCAGTGTAGAGGAAGGGATTGGGCGGTGGAGGACAGGAGTCAAGGGGACACGCGTTCAGTGAGCAAGCGGGGGCGTCGACCATGGGGCCGAAACTGCCCTTGAAGAACCCCCGGATGCACAAAAATATTGAACAAACACGAGGTACCCTCTCCCCGACCTCGACCTTATACCTGGCTCCGACCATATAGGTTATCCGAACAAGTCTGCGCCAAGCCAAACTGCTCCTGCGAGGCCATACTGCTGCGACCCTGTATCAAGCGCTACCTGTCGCACATCTGGCGTGCGATTGTCTGCGCAGCTGCAGCCGCTGTTGCCTATATCGCTGGCAACTGCCCTCGCCGTCCACGACAATTCCTTGTGTCGATTGTCGCGCTGTCGCGGCCTTCTTCCCCGTTTTGTTTCCTTTGTCCCTCCTCCCCTGCCCGTCCAATTCCTGACGGCCGCGAGCCCCGACGCTGTCGCAGGGGTGTCGCGAAAACAGCCAGCTGATAGAGGACTGCGGAAGGAAGCTGCAGCAGAGGCTGCGCGCAAGCCTGGCACGCGCCCGCACCGCATGGGGGCCCAGACACTGCCCTGACGAGGAGAAGGATAATGAGAATGCTTCCCCACAGCAGCTCCGACTGCTGCCACCAAGCCAGGCCAAATGACGACGCAACAGCATCATGGGTCGCTGGAGCAGAAAACATCGAGCCAACATGTACTAGGATAGCATCAGACCAATCTAGAGGAGGAGGAGGAGGAAGAGAAGGAGGAGGAGGAGGAGGAGGAGGAGGAGGAGGAGGGCGCCCGAGTCATCTGCTCGAGCCAGGGGCAGGGGAGGCCGCCTCTCAGAGGACCCATCCCACAGAAAAATTATAAATTCAGAAGCCCTCGAGCTGACGGCCCTGATCGGCTCTCGGCGGCTCTCGGGCAGCCCTCGGCGGCGACACTCGCCACCGCCTCCGAGGAAGCTCGAGGATAGATGCCTCCTAGATAGAGTCCGAGCAGATGGGGTCAAAAGATCGCCGATGCATCGCCGATGCATCGGCAACGTCGGCGATGCATCGGTGACGTCGGCGCGGGGAGACACGGCCTCCACATCGAGCCGCATCGTCGACGCATCGGCGATGCGGCGCGATCCTCCGACCCCATCTACTCCAAGGGCTCCCAACTTCGCGCTTCGCGCTGCGCGAAGCGCGAAGTGCGAATACCTTCGCGCTCTCGCGCCGCCACCCAGGGGAGAAGAGGAGGATGAGGAGGAATCGGAGCCGAACCGCGAAGCGCGAATAACTTCGCGCCTTCGAGGGCGCCATTGCTCCTCACGTCCTCGACGCCACCTGCGAGGGCCTGGTCGTCGTCGAGGACGATTGCGCCGCTGCGGACTAGCTTCCCGACCCTCCCTCGTGCGGCACTCCCTCGTGCGGCACTCCCTCGTGGGAGGTGCCCGCGTCAAATCTGTTGTCGGGCTTGTGCCTGACTCTGCCAGCGTCGCCCTCCGTGCACGCTGGCGGCCGCGCCCGGAGCACTTCTGCTCCTCCGCGAGGCGCCGCCGCGGGCTGGCGCCGGAGGCGCGGGCGGAGAGAGACCGGGCTCAGACGGCGAGCGCGCCGTTCGAGCGCGCGGACTCGTCCACGGAGCCCGAGGCCTCTGGGACTTCGCAGAACTCGCAGGCGGAGTCGCCGTGCGCGAGCATCAGCCCACAGGTATCACACTGACCGCAGACCAGGCTGCCCTGCTGCACGTTGCACGGCCTGCGCTGCAGCTGCCTCCGCGCCCTGTCCAACGAATGCAGGGCGCCGTGCAGCCAGCAGCAACTGCCCGCCGGCGCAGAGACATTCCACTGCGCGAGCAGGTACGCCAGCGTGAGAGTCTGCGTGTTCCGCGGCGTCCGCCTGTACTGTGGGTGGGTCAGCTGCTCGTGCGCGCTCTCGGCGGCGTCCTTGGGGGCCTCCTCCGGCAGCAGCACCTCGTGCTCCTGCACCGAGGGCAGATTCCTGGAGGAGCTCCTGCCCGGCACGAGGGAGCCGACCCTGACGCTGCTGCTGCTGCTGCCGACCTGGCTCACGCCCACCAGTCCGGCGAACAGCTCCTGGAGCTCCTTGCCAGGCGCTGGGTCCGCGGTGGCACCAAACGACTTCTGTAGAAGAAGAAAAAAACGCAATAAACACAACCTTTTGGCGCTCCGCGTGGATTCCTTGGATCTGCGCTGGATCCCCCTCCCTGGCGCGCGGAGCGCGCCAGGGGCGGCGCCAGAGGCGCCGCCAGGGGGGCCCATGGGCGGATCCAAAAGATCCGCGCGGAGCGCCAAAAGTGGATGCTCATGGCGTTTTTGTTCTTCTTCGATTCTTACTCCCGCTGCCAGCGCCAGCCCTTCGGATGCCGACGGTCTCCACCACCTTCTCCATCGCCCCGCTCGTGAAACGCTCCAGCACAGTGGACAGCTCGTCGCCGAGCCTCTGCGCCGTGGGGCGCAGGGCAGGCTTCGGCTGGGTGCACTGCTCCACCACGGGCCGGACGGCCTGCGTGAGCTCGTCGGCAAAGGTAGGCCACGCCAGGCCGGGCCGCTGGCCGCGCCGGAGCCGGCTCAGCACCTGCTCTTTGCCCTTGTCCTTTCCGGCTGGGCGAAAGGGGGGAATGGCAAAGGGGGGGGTTGAGAATCAGCTCACGTAGCTGATTTTCCCGGCGCCTCCCGGCGCCGGAGGCGGCCGCGTATCGAGGAATGGGCCCCTCGGTGGGGCCGAAAGCAGCTGCATGCAGCAGATGTCGTAGCCCCCCCTTTCCCTATTATTCCCCCCTTGCGTCCGGCCCGATCCTTGAACGGCAAGCACCCCGTCAGGACGAAGTACGCCAGCAATCCGAACGAGTAGCAGTCGGCGGTCGCGTCGGGGGGCACCGCCTGACGCGCCAGCAGCTCTGGAGCCATCCATCGCAGCGTGCCGCCAAGAGGCCTGGCGTTCTGGGTGAGCAGGCGCGAGAGGCCGAAGTCGAGGAGCTTGGCGTGGTACGTGCTCCGCCCGCTCTTGCTGTGCCGCTCCTCCACGAAGACGTTGGAATCCTTCAGGTCGCCGTGGACGACGGCGGGCTGCCTCGAGTGCAAAAAGCGCAACACGTTCAGAATGTCGAAAACGATTAAGGATCGCGCGGAGGCGCTGCCGTCGCGGTATCCATCAAAGTTTCCCTCTGCGATCCCGCGGCTTCGCTCCGCAAGCTTGCTGGGGACCTGGGACAGGCCTTGGACGAACACGCCGAGCGGCATGCCGTCCACGAACTCGAGCACCAAGCACAGCTTGTGCAGGGTAGCGTCCATGCACGCCCCGTACATGACCGCGATGTTGGGGTGGCGGATCCGGCGAAGGATCCTCAGCTCGTTGCAGAGCTCGGGCAGGCACGAGCTCATAACGCCCTTGCTCATGATTTCCTCCCGAGGGGCCTTTATCGCCACCAGGGTGTTGTGGTACAAGCCAGCCACAACGACGCCAAAGCCACCTTCGCCGAGGACCCTATCGGGCAAAAGCTTCACGTCGCCGCCAGCAATGAGCCACTGCTCCCGATTGCCGATGGCACGGATCTGGTCCAATTCCGCAGTGCCATCGAAGGCCGCTTCGCTCAGGGTCGTCCCTGGGCGTGATAACGCGGCGGACCGCTCAGATCCACGATCATCCTTGGCATCCTTGGAGGTTTCGCTGCTGATGTCCTCCACCCTGGACAACTGGAACTCTGCCTGGAAGCGCTTCTTCTTCTCCGCTAGAAGCCCCGCGAAGAGCGCACGCTCCTGCCTCTCGAAAGCCCTTTTCCCTATTGCTGCGAATACCGTGAGCACCAGGAGCCCGATGATGTTATAGGGCACCATGCTCATGGCTGGGCTGCCAAGCAGTAGCGCGGGCAAGGTGTAGGCCAAGACGGCAATCACCTCCACAGGAACGAGGACGACCCAGCGGATTGGCAGGAGAAAGTGTAGAGCGGTGACGACGCAATCGATGTACAATACCACATTGCCGTCGGTGCCGCCCAGGTCCACGCCCCAGATGGCCTCGGGGTCATCGTAGCCGAACGCTCGCGCCAAGTAGTGTTTCGGAATGATAACCATCAATAACATGAAACAGGTACTTGCAGACACGACAATAATCTCCAACCCCAGGGTGCTAACGAGATTCAAATTTGCAAGCAGTCTCCCAGAGCCGAAAGCGAGGATTAAGGACAGGATGATGACCATGTGGATGAGCATCTGCCACTTGCTGAGCTCCTGCGCATGCGTCGTGGGATACTGAGCGTCGTCCCAGAATCTGTGAGCAGTCAAGCCTGTCAGGAGGCCTATCGCGGCCATCGCGCCCATCGCCAGCGCCAAGTAGTGACACAACTCCGCCTTGTGTGTGCGCGCGAAGCCTTCCTCCTTCATTGGGTCCACGAATCTCAGCGTGAAGCAATCCATTCCATTTTCGACACTCGACTGCCTGCAACAAAACCAGGAATTGCCGCAACATGCCATCCCTCTCCGTCTATCGCCAACAGATGCTGGTTACCGTGAACGTCAGCTAGAGACTCTGAGGTCACTGGCCCGAGTACGGTGACCCACTGAGCTCAAGGCAAAGGGACAACGCTTCAGTCATGTAGGCTTGAGCCAACATGGCTACGGACCTCCGCCTCTTTCTACTCTTCCCCTACTCGTCCTCCTCCTCCTCGATCCTCCTCCTCGTCCTCCTCGTCCCTCCTCCGCGCGCTCAGTGCGCACTACTCCCCCATTCCAGTGCCACGGCGCTGCGCGATGCGTTGCCTTGCTATGCAACGCTGTTGCATGCAGTGCTTGGCTGCGCAATGCCCCCCCGTGCTGCACAGTGCTACGAACTGCCGTGCTCTCCTGCACCGTGCTATGCCCTGCTGTGCCGTGTGACGTCTACCCTTGTGGGACCAATGTCCTCTTCGATACCCGACCATGCGAACAAAGAGGGTGCTCTGCACAATGATATGCGGATGGGAGGGGTAGGACGTCAGACATGACGCAAACGCACCCAGCCTGCCCTCCACCGCTCTCCTTCCACACCCCTCCTGCCCTTCTATCCCCTCCCACCCCCTCTCCACCTTCCCTCCTCCTCTTCCTCCCCCCACATCCCCTCCTTCACCTCACTCATCCCCGCTCCTCGTCCACTCATCCCCTCCCCCTTTTCCCGCCCCGCCACCCCTCCTCCCCATCCCCCATGCATCCCCCTCCTGGGAACGAGGCGTTGACCTCTGCAATGCAACTGGGCTCAGCGCAAACCAGGCTAGCCCCGCTCATCCAACATGTGCAGTGGAGGCCAGCCCACAGGAAACCTTCCGCAAGAAACCCAACCCCGAGAACCCAGGACGTCCATTGGTCTCTGGCAGGCCCATCGCCGCCTTCCAGAAGGATTCCTGGCAAAACCATGGGCTCTGGCGAAGCCGTTGATGACGCGGGAACGCCACCCCTGCCATAGCAAAACCGTCGATACCCAAGACTGAAGGGGCCCAATGACACACAACAAAAATACACACAAATAACAGGATCCCCCATCGGAGCCGACGATCAATTGTGTCTGTGTGCTTCTTTCCTTTCTGAAAGACACCGAGGGCACCCTGGGGGCAAGCAGGGTCCTCCTTGGCTCGGGCCGGGCGAAAGGGAGGGATAGCAAAGGGCTGGTTTGAGAATCAACTCACGTGGCTGATTTTCCCGGCGCCTCCCGGCGCCGGAGGCCGCTATGTATCGAGGCATAGGCCCCTCGGTGGGGCCGAAACCAGCTGCATGCAGCAGATTTCGCACCCCCCCCCTTGCCCTATGAGGAGGAGGAGGAGGAGGAGGAGGAGGAGGAGGAGGAGGAAGAGGAGCAGGAGGAGGAGGAGGAGGAGGAGGAGGAGGAGGAGGAGGAGGAGGAGGATAGCGCTCCGCGGGAGCGCGGGCCTGCAGCCGACGCAGGCGCCGACTACCCACCCACGGCCGCGCATGGGCGCCGCTCAACTAGCCTCACAGGTCTTCGAGCGGAGGAGGAGGAGGAGGAGGAGGAGGAGGAGGAGGAGGAGGAGAAGGAGGAGGAGGAGGACCCCCTCCCCCTCCAGCTTGCGGTGGTGGTGGAAAACAGGCCCATCATTTTAGAAGGCAACAAATCGACCCCAATAACTCGCCACCCCGGCAAGCGAAGCCGCGCAGCAAGCGCACCCCAAGAGGGAATCGGGCAGGGCGGAGCGGTTCGGCAAACGCCCCGGGCCGCTCCACAAGCGCCAACTATCGTGCCCGGGTGTGGTTCTTCCTCCCTTGAGAGATGATATCCGAGACGGGCGACGTCTTGATTGGTTCAGTAAACGGCCCTCGGAAATCCCGACCCTCTCCTCGAGGCCGGTCTTCCGTGTAGAACCGATTTCGACAGGCCGATGTCCGCTCGGGGCGCATTGACCCTGTAGGGCTTGCCGCAGGCGCAGGCAGCCGCCGCCACGAGGGTGCGCGGGCGGGCCAGCACCCTTCGGATTCGCGCCACCAAGGGGCGGCAATGCCAGGGATGGAGGTTCCTTCAGGAGCTCGTGATGCGCGTATTCTGATAGGAAAAAATTGGGCGAGGGCCCCATGGGCCGAAAACGAAGGAAAACACACGTGCTGCCTTTTTCACGGCACGAGCGTTTCCGTGTCGGCAGCGCGGACGAGGTATCCTCGTCGTCGTCGTCGTCGACGTCGTCGTCGTCGTCGTCGTCCTTCTCCTCCTGTTGCGCGCGCGCTCTCTCTATCTTTTTGTTTTTGTTTTTTTGTTTTCTCTCTCTCTCTCTCTCTCTCTCTCCTACGAACACCACAAGTGCAAGAGAGCACCGCAACTTGCCCGCGACCACCGCCCCTATGCGGATCTCCGTGCGGATATGTATGAGGACTCTCCTGGGGATCCCTACGCGCATCCCCATGCGGATCCCTATGCGGATGCCTGTGCGGATCCCAATGGACATCTCTATGCGATCCCCATTCGGATTCCGATGCGGATGTCTGTGCGGATGCCAATGCGGATCCCTATTTGGGTACCAGTGCGGATCCCCGTGCGCACGGCGGCAGTGCCAGGGGCGCACGGGGGGGCGGAACGTTACGTTATAGGGGGGGGGGCATGACGCGCGCTATGGCCCAAACAACAAAGAAACACGCTCCAGCTAACCAGCATTTTCAGGATGCGCGGTAAGGATGCAAGGGCCTTGGAAGCGCACGTTAACGCTCGACGAACGAGGTTGGTACGTCGCTAAACATGGGCCGGAAGGGCAGGGATGCCCATCCTTACTATGCGGGCCGACTGTGCTGGGATGGCCGCGGAATGTGCTAACGGTATAAAGGAGGGCGCAAGTGGATGCGAATGTGGGCTGGATCTCGCGCGCAATACGTCAAAGTGGGCCACCCATTGCCCCGAATGAAATGAGCGGCTTCGATTATTCGGCCAAATGGGCGCACCCCAGTTGGCCCAAATCTGACGCCGCGCGGGGCGCCGTCCTGACACGCGTGCAGGCCATGCTGTAGGCCCTGTGTGAGCCAGCCTCGCGTCCACGGATCATCTCCCGACCCCCTTTTATAGAGGCCTCCTAGATGGGGTCGGAGTAGATGGGGTCGAAGGATCGCGCAGTATCGGCGATACATCGGCGATGCATCGGCGATGCATCGGCGATGCACTGGCGATGCATCGTCGACGTCGACGATGCATTGGCCACGTCGACCTGAAGCAAATCGGGCCCTACATCGAGCCGCATCGGCGATGCATCGGCGATGCGGCGCGATCCTCCGACCCCATCTACTCCGACCCCATCTAGGAGGCCTAGACTTTAGCTAGAGGAAACCTTTTTTCGTCGGCGGCGAGGCGGGGCCATCCGCACCAGCGAAAGAGCGAAGCAGGCGCACCACTAAGCTTCATTTCCGGCGCGCCAGAGCGTTCGCTTTTTAACTCGGGCCCTGTCCCTCTACAGGACGAATATTGCAACATAGTAAACAACAGTCCGGGGACGACTCTTGGATTACTTTTAACAGTCGGGAGGTATTTTTTTGACAATTTCAAATGTTTCACCCAAGTACCCCCTGTAGGAGGACACGCCCGACTTAACGTTAGCTAGAGGAACACAAAATAAAATGCACCACAAACATACGCTCTTGGAGCTCCACGCGGACTGTCCTGGATCGGCGCCGGACCCACGCCCCCGGCGCGGGGAACGCGCCAGGGGCGGCGCCGGAGGCGCCGGCCCGGAGCCGATCCAGGAAATCAACAGGGAACTCCAAAAGTCCATGTTAGCTCCCGCTCCCTTCCCTCCTCTTCTTCATTGGCGAGGCACCAAAGCTTCGAGGCCGCTCCCGGCCCCAAGACAGAGGCAGGCGCAGCGGCGCCGCCGAAACAGGGACAGAAAAAGAAAAGGGTGGGCGGGCGGGACAAGCGGTCCCACCCTTGAACCCAAAACAGCGGCAGGCAGGCGGCGCGCGCAACAGACACGAGGAGGGGCAATGGGGAATCTCACGCTGCTTCTCATACGCCAATCCGAGTTCATGCAATCTCTCGTTCTCCGATTAGGACCCCCGCCTGCGTCCGTGCTTTTCCATATCCGTCCTGTGTTCGTCTCCCACGCTCTGCCTTCGTTCCGCCCATGGTGCATCGCGGGCTCCGAGCGAGCAAAACACGTGCACGTTGGCTCGAGCCTTGCTCCCGATATCCTCGGCGCCCCCCGCGGTCATAGCAATTGGCCCTGGGCGCGGCCCTCGGGGGGCCCGCTGCGGGGCCCTCGGCCGGCCCAGCAGATAGCGGCCCCCATGGACGGGGCCAGGACGCCCCGCGGGCCCACGCCGCGCACGCCGCTGGAAGCCTGGGCCCCCCCTCTCCCTCCTGTCCCCCCCTCCCCTCCTCCTCCTCCTCCTCCTCCTCCTCCTCCTCCTCCTCCTCCGTCTCCTCCTGCTCCTCTTCCTGCTCCTCCTCCTCCGTTTCCTCCTGCTCCTCCTCCTCCTCTTCCTGCTCCTCCTCCTGCTCCTCCTCTTCCCGCGCTTCCCAGGGCACGCGTTGGAAGGCTTCGGCCGCGCGCGCAGCCCCCCCAAGGTGTCGGCCGGGCGGCGCTGGGGGGCGGCCGGAATGGGGAAGAAGAGTGGAGGCCCCACTCGCCATCGCTCGGACGTCCATTCCCTGTGTTTTTTTTGGTTTCATGCGTGGTTTTGTCGCCAAATGATCATGGATGCTCCTCGATGGTCCTCGCCGAAGGAAGAAGGCACACGTCCGAGCGATGCCAAGCCCAGGGAACCCCTCTGGAGCCAGCAGGGGCCCCAGAGGGGCCCTGGAGGGCCCTCTTTCTTCACCACCACCCGATACTCCACCGCGCCCCCTGGAGCTGGGCCAGAACCAAAACACGACATGGAAGCCCCGAGAGACACGCAAACAGTCAAAACCCAATCCCGACACGCGGCTCCAAAACAGTTTCACAAGGTGTTGGCCCATGTCAAAACCACGGCGGCAACAATCGAAACCAACATCAGCATTCCTTAAACATCGTACAGTACCCACATCGGGCGCACTTACGACCCAGGATAAGCGTAGAAGCACAAATCAAATGACCCTAGTGCGACCCGACCTAGAAGTTGGAGCACCTCGGAAAGCAGCATTAGTTACCATGCTATGATATGCTGTGCTATGCTATGTCATGCTATGCTGCGCTATGCT